TATATATACAAGTTGCAGATAGAATATATCGATGAACTTCATACAATGATATTAACAGAACATATATCAAAAGCAAACTCTAAAATAATATTCATCAAAGAGCACATATTTTATTAATTTTATTACGTAACTACAATTTATTTAATAATTTAAAAATTGTGGCTTAGTTTTTAATAATTATTTAAAGGCTCAATTTTTCCTTACTGTTTTTTTTAAAAAAAAACAAAAAGAATTTTTATCTAATAAAAATTACTAAAGGTTTGAGAGCTTCCAACTGTATATTGTTTGATCATTCGTTTTTCTTACTTTATACTAACTCTTACTTTCGCTAACCCGATACTTCACTTTCGTATGGTGTGATTATCTTGGTATTCATAATTGTGATTCATTTACTTGAATTATTTATGTTATAATTCCAGATGCCAAAATCATTAGAAAAATATTATGCTGTTCGTGTTGGAAACAAAACAGGAATTTACAAAAACTGGGAAGATTGTAAAAAACAAATTCATAAATATCCTGGTGCTTTGTATAAAAAATTTAATACAAAGAAACAAGCTGAAGAATATATCAATGAACAAAACCAAGAAAAAAAATAAAAATTTTGAACAAATTTGGACTGATGGGTGTTGTGAAAATAATGGAAAAATAGATGCGTATGCTGGAATTGGAGTTTTTTTTAAAGATAATGATCCTAGAAATTTATCTGAGAGATTACCTGGTACAAACCAAACAAATAATAGAGCAGAAATATTTGCTGTTATTAGAGCAATTGAAATTTCTAAAAATGATCAAAATATAATTATTAATACAGATAGTACTTATGTTATTAATAGTTATAAAGTAAAAAATCCAAAAAAAAATTTTGATTTAGTGAATAGGATGAATGATTTGATAAAAGAAAGAAAAGGTAAAGTAATTTTTAAACATGTAAGAGGTCATAGTGGTATCTATGAAAATGAGAAAGCAGATAGATTTGCATATTTAGGATCACAAAAATCTCATATAGAACTTATTTTACCTGAAAGAAAAGGAACAATAAAAAATTATTTTAAATAAATTATTATTAATAAAATTATTTATAAATATTCTACAAATATTTATTTTTTTTTTTTTAAAAAAAATGAACTGGCAACAAAAATTCAAAAATTTTGAAATCATTACAGATGGAGATTTGAATGGTTTGAAAATAAAAAACATAAAACAAAACATTTTAGAGTTAAATAACGATCATCATTCGCTACACGATTTCAGGTGAGACTAGGAGTCGAACCTTATCACGATTACAATCAACGATAAGGGAACCTGATATCACGTAAGAACAAATGATCATTCATCCCAACCGCATGAATGAAAGCACGTTGGGAACAGCGAAGCAGAAAAAAAAACAAAAAAAATTTTATTAAATTGACTCGGAGAAATTAAAATTATATAAACTTAATATTTTTTACTTTATTTAAAAAAAATAATTTTTTATCAAAAAAAAAAAAATAATAATTTTTGATAATGAATCATTTTGATATTCAATTAAAAAAAGAAGAAATATATGAATATAAAATTCTTAAATTGCTTAGAGTAAATGGTATTAAATATTATGCTCGTCGATTAACTTATGAAATTAATAAAAAGAAAATTTTTATAGGAGATGGAGAAATAGATTTAACTGGAAATTATAACGAAGTATTTTTTGCTATTCAAGCAAAGTATAGAAAAGATCATCATAATGAACAAGATAAAGATATTAAGAAATTTGATAAAGCTTTAGAATTACAACCTAGAGAAGTAGTAGGATTTTTTGTAACAACTATTGATTTTTCAACTGAATCTAAAGAAGCAGCATTAAATTCTAAAAGAAAAATATTTTTATGTAATATA